AATTAGCAGATTATTATTTCAACATCAATTTCAACTTTGAATTCTTTGAAGTTTATGGTACAGGGATCGTCGGATATCGTTCACAGCGAGGGCTTGTAAAACACAGACTACACTTTCTTGCTGTTTAAATATTGGTATTCTTACGAAATTAAATTATGTTTGAATACCACTTTATAAAAATAAGTGGAAATATTTATTTGATGGTCAAAAACATTATACTTCATACGGCTCACCCCAATCCCAAAATCATCACATTGAAAAAGCAAAAACGTATTGAAAACCAACTGGATTAGCTAGTTTCACTATTATTACATACCATAGCACAATTTGGCGACATTATTGACCATTATTTAAATAGTACTCCATATCAAATTTCATACCGAATTTCTATTACTGATAGGTGTGTTATTTCGAAAACAATAACTGACGGTCATGCTGGTGGACGGTTAACAGTAAACTTATGCACTATCCCTATAACACGACTATTCGAAAAACGAACGAAGGTATGTTGGAAACGGGTGGAGCCGAATACAGTAATCTCATAACAGTAGGAACTTTCTATGCTTCATTTTTGCATATACACTAAACGCCAAAAGAAACGTTAGCCTCCTTCCTAATGACGGAGGTACTTATCTTCAGCTTGCGTTGTGATGCGTGGACGTCCACTTCTTGGTCTGTCTACGGTGACTCCAGTCTGTCTGAAGCCCTGAATAAATCTTATAACCGTGATACGGTGGCATCCGAGGGCGTTGGCAACAGCATTGTAAGTCGAACCCATCTGCACCATCCCAATGGCTCTTTCTCTCTCTTCAGCTGTTAATCGTGGCATATTTCTCGTACTTGTGTATCATATCACGTACTCTAGGCTCTCTTCCCTATAGAATCTTTCTACATGTGAAATGGATGCAAATACTACTTGAATATTACTGCGTTTTGGCGATTGATATTGCTATGTGTAAACAGAAAATGGAAAAATGTTACTTTGCAAGCAAAAATGTCAACAAAGATAATTATACATGTTCCTAAAAACATTTTCACAATATCAAAGACACGTTTTACTTGTTTTCACTAATGGAAATCAGCAGAAAATATTTTAAAAGACTGAAATCATAGAAATGATTATTTTACAATTTTACACACTCTACAACAGTTGTTTCTTGCTTTAATAGCTTAAAAATGGTTTATCTTTGTCCCAAAGCAGAATTTTATTTCAACCTTTCTTCCGGACATCCAAATCACTGTTATTGGTTTATTTCGGCATGGACGAAAATAGGATAATTTAACTCTTCTGAAAAAAATGCTTTTCACCATAATATGAATGCATTTGAGTTGTTTTCTCGTGATTTGCATAAAGCTGTGTTGTTAAGCTTTCCTATATACTAATACCTTCTAACATATCTTTGATAGTTTTTAAGTAATTCATAAAGGTAGAAGGGTAACGTTTTTTTCTGGCGTTTAGTGTAGATATAACGGAGTTGGGAAATATTTTACTGAATTCTGCAAACATAAATTCATTAACACCTAACACATAATATATACAAGTTTTCAAAGACCATGAGTCCATGGAACAAATGGAAGCCAGACCAATATAAATGTTTCATCAGATCCTGGTTCCACAGGAAGATCTAGTTAAAACACACAGATTATATACTCCTATGATCAACATAAGCCTTCTGTGTTGAGGGATAAATGTTACCAGCAACAATCAAAGATATTTTGACTTTCATATAATACAAGATAATGTGAACTTGAATCCTGCCTTGTGCAAGCAGATCAGCATGTGGTGTGCATTTATTTAACATGCTTACTCAGTATTCACCAGATGAAGGACCAATAAGAAACGTCGCTACAAGAATAAGGAAGTACAGTTGTTTACATATCCATTCAAAAGTGTCATGGATTCATGGCTATAACCAGTCTAACACACCTGTAATTCGTTTTATTCGACCGAAGCATAATAATTATATTTGCTATATAAAAACCTATCTGATAAAAAACAAAAATAAGTAAATACGAAAAGTGAAGTTATTCCGGAAAAAATATGCAACCTGAAATATACAAAGGCCGTGATAAGGTCGTGCGTGGGAAGCAGCCTTCCTGAATCTGAATGGTTGAGTGCGATTGAATTGGCATGAAGGAAACCAGCCCTTTTGTAAAAAATAAGTGTTCCTTTAAGCAAAGACGGATCTCGGTTGATACCTTTAATGCGCATACCGTCCTGATTACGTCTACAGAAACGGGTTGGAGACGTATCGATTTACAATGGAGGTGCTATTGATACCACTGATCAGTTAGAACAACATACACCGTCTGATCCGCTTTATTGCTCATATAAATGTCACAGATAATTACCAATCTTATACTAATCAATACCAATCACAATCATTTTAGATTTTTGAACCCTGATAAGATTCGACGTGAGACGTGCAGGTATTCTTGGGACCCTGAACACACCAGGTATGTCCCATTGTCTTGTCTTGGACACGGTCGGCTTTTATGGGTAATACGTGGACCGCGAGGACAGGGTCATCGATAGATCGATATAAAGACGCCACATGGTAATGGTCATTACTTTGTTACTCGAAATTGTATTTGTATCTATATGAACTGACACCGATGTCATTGATGTAAATGTATTTTGCAGTACCGACACATGCACGTCAGAATGAATGAGTGAGTATAGTTTTACGACGCAATGAGTAAGTGCCCATGGTTTAAAGAAGCACTCCATAATCATCAACGCCACTGCATATACATCCAAATGAGACGTGTGAGTGAGTGAGTTTGGTTTTACGACGCTTTTGCAATATTCCAGCATGGCAGTGGACCCCAGAAAAGGGCTCCACATATGGTACCCATAATCGAACCCCGCATACGGCGTGACGAGAGCACACTTCAGCCACTTGGCCACCTCATCGCTCCTATTCAACGCTCTGTCATATTTTGGGAACTATATCACAATTCATATGAAAAGATTTTAGTTATTAGTTCGTACAATAAATAAGATTTCGTGAATTTGACTTTATTTAACATTTGTTTTCTCATAATTGCATGATGTGACAATATTATATACTGTATGAATGCTTGGGGATGGTATCGGAAGTTTGCATAACTTGGTCCCGAATGACTTTCAATATTGACTGCGATAACAGTAAATTTTAGTTTAACTCGACAATGAACAGGATATATTTTGGGAATTTCTCAATGAATCAAATACGTTTTCAATGCGGCGGTTTCGAAAGTAGGATCGATACGAGTAATTTCATTCGATTATTATATTCTACATTAACCAATGCACTTGAACATGCATGTAAAACGCGAACATTGTCCTCTCTGGCAAGGACAAAGAGGTCACAAAGTGTTTAAATTTCGCCGATATGATTAGCTACTGGCGAGGCCCCAGTGACACCTAGACTTGACTGATATAGAGCTCAGCATTACACGGAGAGCAAGGCACTAGGGAAAAAGTGTTGTTCAAGAACTGTGAGACAGACTAGTAGCAAATGTACACGAGGTGGAAACTGTTTGATAAGTCTCTGCTTCTAGGCTTATGATAAGTATAACATGTCTATAACAGGGGGATGATATATTTGTTCATTCTTGGCGGTTCAATCTGGTTTGAAAAAGGTGGGAAAAAATGTATCACCCATACAAGATTTTCGGAAAGACAATTACATCCGATGAGCTATCTGAACAGAATATGTTTCCTGTCGCATTCCCTATTCTCTCCACCTACTGAAACAAGATGAAACAACACTGGCATATGAAGCAGGTAAATACCTGTACCAAGATAATATTTATACGCCAGATATAGGACCTTTCTGTAACAGTTAACCATTCATGAACGAAATGGTTCATCTTAAAGAAAGACAGTCTCAATCTTTTAATCAACCAAAAAACATTTCCAAGTGTAATAGTTTTGTTGTCCTAACTACTTTAAAAAATACATGTTACGGTAAGGCTAACTGTGGCACTGCAGATATCAGAAGTTAGTTTGGTTACAAAATACTCCAAAAGTGGAAATTCAATGTACTAATTCTTTAAACTCCTGTTTCGTTTTGTAAACTTTACTGCGTTTCAATAAAGAACATATTTCCTGGACACAGGAATCGACCATGTGCATATATTATAAAACAAATTACAGCAGAGGAAAGTTTAGTTCATGTTATTACACGGTTGAATCCACTGTGCAGATATTTCCGACCAGGAACATTTGGATCGGCAGGAAGTAACACCGGTACGGTCTGTATCCACAAAAGGTAGATTAAACAATCTATTTCGTACTTGGTAAGATATTCCTTTGGTCCGATATTCTTTCCAGTCGTTTTAAATGAATCATAACTGACACCTCGAAGACTTGTAACAAGCCCAGAGTCTAAAATTACCTCCCCTTATTTTGAAATTACAGACACAAACCATCAAAAAATCCCACTCTCGGATTTTCAATAATAAGGGTTATCTTTATGGGATTGTCTTATATGTTTGTGTTTCGTGCCAGAGGACTCCCCTCTGCCGTGTATTTGTTTCGCCTCATTAGTTGCTGTGCGGGCCTTATATTTATTATTTAAATCTTAATCAGATTAGTTTGGTTTTTTCTACAGTTGTACGTCGACTGTATCTTCTTCGAAACTTGCAGTGCGCAATGCAATCCCTGTAACGTGTCGTATCGATAGAAAGTAATGTCCCAAGTAGCATTTTTCGTGACTCGTCACCGGAAGTCACACTGCTGCTTCCGGTCATTGATACGAAATTGAGGCTGTTGAATAAATCTTGTCAAGAACTGTCATCAATCTTGAGAGCCTTCGTGTCGACCTCTCGTTTTAAATGCCTCAATAAAATGATGTTTAAATAGGAACCGCTTTAATCTATTTTAAAGACCAAGATAGTATGGTTCAGTGCTTCTAACGTGTCAATCTCTTTTTGCAGAAAGAATTAGTGGAGAAAGTTTCACTTGAGGTAGAATTAATGTTGCAATATCGCAAGTGTTATTGCCTCTTTATTCAGGTTTTTAGGATACAGGAATTATCGTCAATCCAGCATGTACATCTTTAAGTAAAGTTTCTAAATGATAATGGTAATTCTATTTATGGAGCTGTTGCTTGATGTACACAATGCACCGCAGACACATTCTACCGCTTGAGTGAAAATAATTTGAATTATACGCCAAATATGTCTTGAAAACACCCATCCCCATGAATTACTACGTTTTCAATGCCTTTTCATGGACAAGAATTTCAAAGGGATTATACATTATCTCAAAATTATAACGGTCAAACAAGCTTGTTAACAACTATTTCCTGTGAAACAACCTTGTCAAGAAAGTGAAGTCGAAATAACAGGCTCATAAGATTATTGATTCTATTTTTGTGATATATTAGCATTTCAGCTTATACACCGTAAATAATTGACGTCAAAGGAAATAACTTGGTGAAACCGATATGATCCGCCAAATAATATCAATATTATATACTATTAGCTGTATACAAGAATCACCATGGTCACGAGGTAGGTACTTTGGTTCATGGAAGGAGACATACCTCTGGTCACCTATGGCATCCGCCGCTCAGTCCATGATCAAGGTCCGCTTCGCTGGCTTTACATTATCCCACAGAAAGCAAATATCAATATTATTATTCTAGCATTCAGACAAAGATGGATTGCTGTAAATTCATATTTATCTTCTCCTGCCAAGTGGAAGTAAGTGTATTTTGTAGTCTGGGTATTTCTTCTTCTCTTTGAATTTCCCAATCGATACCTTGATTAAAGCACCTGCCATGACTCTTCCTGGCATCCTTGTGTTATTGAGCTAACATTCGGGTCAAAACTCTTTCCTTGTCAGTGCCTTCCTGCAAAATCAAGTTTAATCTAATAAATCATGAAATCTAAACAAAGGTGGACGGCTTAGATGTAAATATGTTCAGCAAAGCTCGAAGTCTTTCAGCGAGCCCACCCAGTTGAATTAATTCAGTATTGAATTTGTTTTTGTCATCAACACTTGCGTGCTTGGAAAATTAAGCTGAAAGTTTTTTCTGTGATTGGATTTGCAATTTTCCACCATTTGTTGCTGTCCAGTGACTTGGAATGCATGACCACCGTCATCTGTCCCATAATATTTCTCAATTGATCTCCACCTGATGTCTTAGCCCAACGATAAGGTGTGTTCATCCCTACCTCTCCATCAATACACATGTGTTCTACGCTTAGAACGTCGAATTATACATGGTGGTGATTCTATTGAAGATGATTTGCTGACATCAAATCGCTGAGAGAAAGGATAGAGAGGATGGGGGGTATATTGAAAGGGGGAGGGTGTCAGGCGTGCTCCTTGCACCCCCACGGTCTTTTAAATAGCGGAGATTTTTCAACCAATCAACGAATCCGCTCACTTTGTTGAACATCAAAGACTTTCTCGATCTGCTTTCACTAATACCGTGGCTAGAATCGATACGCCATTGTTAAAGGCCTCTTCTCATCAAATATCGATATTTCGAATTTCCACCTGAAACCGGTTGACGAATTAGTTCACAGGTACCGCGCTAAGGTGACTTCCTATCATCGCGAGATGTGAATCGTAATCAGGCTATCAGTCCCTCTCCGGTTGTCCAGAATTGGATTGGCTAGAACTGGCAGCCATTGATATTGAAAACGTGTAAAAGACGGAGCTACAAGAAAGCGGATCAAGAGCGTTGTTCCATTGAAGAGATCCCGGATAAATCCAAGGCAATATCCTCTGAAAGCAACAAAATAATCCCCTTTGGCCATTGTTGCTGTGTGGGCCTTTCTCTGTGTTTCGTGCGATTTGTTTGAACTGCCAGGCTAAGGCTTGTGTGTGTTCATCGGGTGTATTTGGCAGAATATTAGGCTATTATTGGTAGCTATGAAGTGCAAGATGTCAACTATAATGGTTGCAACTTGTATGTTGGTTTTCACTGGGCAAATATTCCTTCAGAAATGGTTATACTAGTAGCCTGGGCACTTTGTTTATCTCTGTCCGGTACTTTCAATACCATTGATATATGCAACTCATTTCTGAAGATTATAACGAAAAAGATGAAATGCATAATGCTGTATTTCTTAATATATATGGTGCATATTGTATATATACTACAATTGTTTTATATGCTGTTCTATTATGTACTGTTTGTATTGTTTTTATTGTTTAAAGCAAGTACATATGCTTTGAAGGAAATTTGGTTTACGTTTGTGAAACACCCTATCACCCCTTTCAAACGATAATGGGTTTTTTCAAATATGTTAAATATTTCGGATTTCGGATACAGTGCACTGCGTTTCTAACAAACATGCGTATTACGAACGAACGGATATAACGAACTGTTTCCCGACAATTTGGCGTACATTTAAGTTTAAATGTTTACGTTTAAATACGTTTAACTAGGGTTAAAGCGAACTAGAATTAGTGGTCCCTTTGAGTTCGTTATATACTCCCTGTACATAGTTTAGTGTATATATGCTATATCCGCAATTGACCAAATGCTATAGCATGTAAACTGTTATACGACTTCAGGTGGAATGTCCATTCAGGTGACAGTCATCGCCACGTAAACAGCGGTGGGGTGGTGTGAGCTGGGCGTAATCCAGGACTCCCTTCGGGGCACACGTTGTCAGGGTATCACGTCAGAGCGGACGTTTTCATAATAGTAGTTGTTGAGTGAGTGAGTGAGTTGGGTTTTACGCCGCTTTCAGCAATGTTCCAGCAATATCACGGCGGGGGACACCAGAAATGGGCTTCACACATTGTGCCCATGTGGGGAAAGTAATTGTTGATAGAGTAGCAAGATAGACCGTGGTCCTTTTGCAAAAAGGGAGAAAGGGGTGGGTTATAGCGCAAGTGGTCATAATCATAGTCGGAATCGTAGTCGTTATCGTAGCAGTAGAAATCGTAGTCGCAGTATGACAATAGTATCAGTGATGTTTATGAAGTTACCTCCGTTCTGATATTATTGATAGTAGTAGCAGTGATATTGGCAGTTGTAGTGATAGCCGCTTTTCGACGCGTTCCATCAAAATCACGGCGTGAGCCACGAGAAATAGGCTTCATGTTGTACCCATGTAATAGTTGGTAGTGGTAGGCGTAATAGTGGTTGTAATGTTGATACTGGAATAGTGGTAGTTGACATTGTGGTGGCGGTGGTGGTAGTAATATTGGTAGTGGTAATAGAGCCGGCGGTTGCAAGGGTAGTGGAAGACGTTGATGTAGGAGGAGGAGGAGAAAGAGGATAATGCTAAATCGTCTAACGGCAGCAGCAGCAGCATGTCAACGGCGTCAGTGTTGTTAATGAAGTTACCTCCGTTCTCATATCACGTGTTCTCATTTCCTGCGAGAGGCTTTCCTCGTTGTACGGTAAGGTGGGCGCTACTTTGACAGTTCACGGCGGTTAGTTTTCGATGTTAGCACCATTCGCGAGATCATGGCCAGGTTTGAACAAAGGTATTAAACTGCATCATAAACTCATTTCGTCCATAAAACCCAAAACACAATCTGCAATTGTTTTTAAAACGAGAGAATTGATTTTTGTAATGAGTAAATGTGTGTTCATTTGGCAACAAAGATGAAGATTCACAGTGATTTGGTTCAACACAATTACCGCGTGATTCACCCAATATCTGTGTATGATTTATTCGCATCATGCGTGGTCAATAAACTATAATTAATAACCTGAGTAAAATATTTCCAAACTATATTAAATTCCTACGTCACTAGTTAATGGTAAAAGATGTTAGGAATTATTCTGTAGAATGAAATGAGCCTTTATAATCTGATCAATGCATAGGGACGTCACGTGACATTCATTTAAATCATCACAGCGCATGCTCAAGGAAGTGTGAACCGCTACACGAAGAGGTATTCGTTGTTGCGTAACTGTCCGATTTTAGGATCAATTTAATTACATATTTTCATATTAACAGTTCTTAATTACGGCTAGCGTGTCAATATAATGTTATGATCATGTTTATATCAAAACGTTCATAGCTGTTGACACCAATATCACATCCGCTACCGGAACATATTAAGCCTCATCTTCCATTGATACAGATAATCAAAATTTATTAACATATTTTTTTTCAGATTGAATGAAAGATTTCTTGATTCTCCGAACTATTGTTATGTGTTCTCAAACACACAGGAGTTAACACTCATACCAACCTATGACTCTGGCCTTTGGTTACGTCTTTGTGCAATCTGAAATTGATCTCACCACATGACCTGCTGTTCCGATCACGTGACCTGATATCCGTTTTGATATTTATTGCATAATGGTCAATAGTTTCAAGATTTAATGTATCAAAATACTCGACAAGAAATCAAATACCAATTTGCAAATGGGGCACCGCTAATGAAGCATTTAGCTGCCTCGGTATCCGTCGTACCACCATGCATGGCAAACTTTGAATGCCCAAACTAATATCGCCAGCGATCTTTTAGTGGCCCGCTAATGGGAAAATAGCTTTTGTGGCACAGTAAATATTATCTCAACAACATTTTATGATGGGCATTTGAATATTCATGACGTTTTTTAGTAACCATGTCGTGACTTTTAATGTATTTTTCGTGTTAAATAAGCGGCAATCAATGTTTTTTCGAACATTATTTGTTTTTGATTGGGACGTGAACTATGTGTAGCAACACAGTAGGTCGGCACTGGGATCATTGCTGAATTAACCATTTTAATACAGAATCATTTAAAGGAAATTGGTATCCCAGACAACAGACATGAAGAGAGGCTGGATAGACAAGAAGTCATGGAGCCGATGGATCAACAGCTTACTGAAAGTGAATAAACGAAACACAAGTGGGACTGTTTGACATCTGTTTTCTGTGTTTGACAGAGCACTCAGTTAGTAATTACACAGAAACCCCGTTAGTGATGAAACCCTACTTTACAGACCAGTACCGTTAGAAACATGCATGTGTATAGGACTTTGGTAGATTTGTCAAACCGGCTGGGTGCTGGAAGGCCCGGATCAATGTTTACGTCTGACATGGGCTTCATGTGGTGGCATTAGCCAGAGTAGCAAGAACAGCTTGACCCGGACTCTCTGGAATAAGAGACAACTAAGAAACACTACTGGTGACGTAGACTAACATACAGAGGTACAGATAAGCTGCGTATCTGCGTAAATTACGCAAATATTTATGTGAAAACTCAATTCCTATTAAGTCTATTGCGTACAGATACGCTTGAATTTTGGTAAATATTTAATAAATTTGATCTTACAAGCGGACACACAAAAATGTCAAATCTTAGCTTGCGTACCGGTGGATAGATGAAATAACTGACGTATATTGAGTTGTTCTGTTTCAACACATGAACTTGGCAACTTTCTTATATTACAGATCAAAATATAAATAACAAACACGTAAACCAACATTTAAACTTTATTTTATTTGTACAATTATTGGAAAATGGCAAAATACCCAATTGAGTTCGAGTGAGGTGGGAACAATTTATTTGTTACTCAAAGAAAAGTTGGATACCCAACTGAAATGAACACAAGAGAGTACATAACTCAATGACCCCAAAAGTTATCAGTAGCTCTGAATATAAACATATTTTACAGAAAAAACTGTTTCTAAAATGTATTCATAAAATATTATAAAAAGGAGCCCAGAGACTATAAGCTCACCACATATTCTAGCATATGGGCTGTATTGGGCATATCATTTCAGACTATGGTAACGGCTAATATTAGAATGCTGTGGGTGTTATTTTATGTGGAGTCAGCAATAGTTGTACATCATAGCCACCTGTGATGGCGCGGATCACATAAACCAGTTGCTCACCTAGGGTCTTGAAACATCCTTACACGCACCTCACAGCTGTCA